TCCTCATCGCCCTCTCCACTGATTGTACACCACTTGGTGCAGCCTGTCAGGGCTGCAGCTGGAGCAGGTAGCGGGTTATGGAAAATAGCAATGTCTTATAGGTGAGCTCTTTGATAAGTTTATTTAATGCCCTGCAAGTAGGCGTCAATTTCCCCTTTTGATGTAAGTAAGTAAGCAATAGTTATATAATAAAACACTGACATCTGCAGTAGCTGTCCTTTTCTGCAAGTAATATTTCATCCTCTCACTGTCTCAATCAGTGTTGTTAATAGAGATCTCTTATTGTGAGTTTTTGAACTAGACCATCTCCCAGTGCAGATGCATGGATAAAATATGGACTTCCCCTCTTCTCATGCACGTGGGATTTTTGTGCAAAATTCATGAGATTTGAATAACTGTTTTCATCAGATAAGACTGTTACTTCAGCAAGCTATTTTTCTTACATAGCTGTAATATTATGAAGTGCAATAAGTGAAGTTGCCTTTGAAAGCTGCATTTGTCTCTAACCCCACTTCCAAGCTTCACCTAGAAAGGTGCTTTGGCTTTGTGCTGATTTGCTCTGATTGCTGCAAGGGACACCACTTCTGACTTGGAATAAAACAAAAGACAGCAGTACTAACAGGACCAGGCCTTGAGAAAGTGGAGTTTGGTCTTGGTGGCTGCCCAGACACTGTGGCATTAGCTGCAAGCACCAGGCCCCGTTGCGTGCCTGTAGCAGCCGCTCTTCAACAGCCGGCAGACTTTATCACCAGTTTTGGCACATCTACTTCTAATCATTTTATAAATATGCAGAGAAAGAAAAAGAAAATGAAATCCTACCACAAAATATAGGTTTGGGGAAGCACAGCTCTCAGCTGGGGCTAGACCCCCACAGCTTGGTCTTCTGCGGCTTTTAAATACTGTGGCCAAGCACTTGATCACCAAGAACAGCTCATGGCACTGAGAGGGTTTTTCTTTCAAAACTGCATAAGCGTGACCAATACCAGACTCCCAGAGCAGTTAAATCTACTTGTCCCATTTCCTAGAGAGGGGAACTGAGGCAGTGAGGTTAAATGAATAGCCAGAGACCACAGAAGAAAGTCATACCAGAGCTCAGGATTGAACAGAGGAGTTCTCAGATCATAAGCTTATAATCATGCTGATAAGAAACATTTCCTTTCCTTTTTGCACACGGGCTGCACTCTCGGATGGCAGGGAAGATTTGGTTCTGCCAACATTTGCAGTTTTAAAACTGGTATATCCAACAGCTTCATCTTCTGACCCAGTAAGTGGGAGGAGCATGGGGTGCTCTTGCTGGGAAGAGCCATTTGCAGGGGGTTGTTGAGGGAGTGAGAGCTTCAGTTTGGGAGAAAGGAAGACAAAGATACCATTTCTTCAGAGATTTGCAACAAGAAGCTCGAACCAGACTTTGCTGGAGCCTTATTCTATTCAAGCACTGTTACAGGTTGCTGAGGTCAACGTTCTGGTAGCTGTTTGGTCCGTATTGTGAAACGCCTCTCACGGAGAAAGAAAAGAACCAGAATTGTGCCATCTAGTGACCCAAAGAGAACAAGCATCTGTCCCTGATCTTATCTTCCTGCTCCCTATGCAAAAGAATTTAGATTGTAATCCACAGTCTTCAGATGATAATTAAAACAAAACAAAACAAAACAAAACAAAACAAAAAATCCCCCCCAAAACAGAATAATGAGCATTTCTATTATTTTCTGCTCTTTCATGTGCAACTCTCCTGGCAGCTCAGACTGATCCCCTGTCATGACTCATCTGCCTTTGTTTTTACTCTGTTTTGCCTAAGAGCCAGTTTATGACTTATTATTCAGCTCTTGACGTGTGGAGGTGAAAGTCCAGCTGTGCTGCCTCTCCATGTTCCTTTTGTCTTTTGCTTCCAGATGGTCACCAAGCAATTAGCTCTTCTGCCCTGCTTCCGTCTTCCCCTATCAAGCCTTACTGACGACAAGTTCCCTCACTAATATATCTGCCTTCCAGTGTTTTCTGGGATTTTTCTAGAGCAGTTTGCCATGTCCTCTCAAAGTTAATAGGCATTGTAAATTATAGAACAAGTGGAAGTCAGAGGGCAACAGTGGAACAAGTGCATTTTCTCAGCACTTCCAAATTAGATCCAATTCTAAGGTGCTGAATTGCAAAGAAACATCTCATCTTTCCTTATATCTCTAGAAATGTCAACCAAACTGCTTTAGCTGCCTTCATTAGGGCTAAGTGCTTATAAAAGCGTAAGATACCAAGCAAAATTGCTGCTTTTCTGAGAATGGGAGAAACCTTGCTGATTCTGCTGGAGTGCCTAGGAGTAAAGAAGCAGGCTGGGAGAAACCATGCTCACAGGGTAATGGTAGGTTGGTGGGACCACCCCAAACAACTTTGCAAAAGGAGGGAAACCAACACTTTCTGAATTTTACTAGAAGAAAATCAGTGTCATGGGTGATAGGGAAGGCAGTGGCAGAAGTAGGGCAGGTCCTGTCATGAGCCTCAGAGCTCTGCCACCAGGCAATGCTGCCTTCCATCCTCAAGGTGCACACTATCTACTGGAAAGCACGTGTAGGACAGCACTATGCCAAGCTGCTGCCAGGCTGGTGAGGAAACTCCTCCTTTCTCACAGCCTTTTAATCCCTTCCCCATATCCTTCTCCCATAAGCTTTTAATGGGAGCAGAGCCACCACCCTCTGGTAATCAGAGCCCTCTCAGCGTGCTTTCCTTCCCTGCTCAACGTCAGCAGTAAGGCTGGTATATGCCCAATCAAAAAAAAAAAAAAACAAAACAAAAACCCTTGTGAAATCTTTTCGCAGATGGCTCCTGCTCTTGTGCAGGTTTTGGAGGAGGCAAGGCATTCCACCAGGTTGCACAAGTACCTCAGTAGGTGGGTGCTCTCATGCTGGCAATTCCAGCTTGAGCCTAATTTTGTGATAGCTACTGATAGGTACTGACTACTTCTGTTATGAGCCACCTACCACAATTTTGGCTGAATCATTTTAGTTCTTTTGAGTAAAGAAGGTACCCCAAACATGACTGCAAATGCATTTTAATGCATGCTAGTAGCACGGAAACACAAGCCTATGCCTGTGCACACTTCTGCAAGAGCAGCAGCCTCCTTGGTGCACTGCTGAAAGTCTCGCTTGCCCTCTGTTGGGTGTTGGGGGAAGAATTTACAGCCTTGATAATGAATGCTGCTTACTGGACCTTGTGAAAGCAGGTCTCAGACTGATGAAGGCCCTGAAAACTAAGCAGTCCTTGCTTGTTAACCTCTCCTGTCATCTGATTAGAAGGTGACATTCAAGGAAAATAAAGGCAGCAAGGTATTTAGAAGCAAGCAATTAATAAGTAGGAGACAATAACATTTCACACAGCATATAATGCAGACAACCTGTAGAGTTCACTTCCAAGAAAGGGTCACTGAAGCAAATGCAGTGTGTAGCTTTGAAGGAAGCGATAGCTGATTTAATGCCTGCTAGCCAGCTATGCAAGCTGAGGCGACAAACATAATCAAATCTCATGCTTCAGGGCATAAATTGAAGGGATTGAGTAGAGGAAGCAGTTATGTATATACAGGGTCTGATCCTGAGAGGTGCTGATTACCTGCAATTCCTACTAAGTTCATCGAGTGAGAGGACACTCAGGGATCACTCAACTTCTCCATTGACTGAATCTGTACTTGCTAATTTTTATTAATAAAACCTGTAATATTTTAGCCTGCTGGCACAAACACTCATTTTGCTACAGTAACATTTATTTCCTTCCACACAAGAGTCAAATATTAAAAGCTGCTTCTAAAATAAGATTTTATGGAGATAATTTACTGTGGTTTGGACAGAGAATTTCTCTCTCAAAATATGTTATTATTCTCTACCTAAATAGGGTACTTACAGGGCCTCATTATGAGAATGTGTGAGCACCTCACAACCTTACAACCTTTAACAGATTTATCTTCTCAGTTTCCTTCCCGAGCAGGGGGATTGGTACTAGTCCCACTCTGCAGGTGGGCAGTTGCGGTACTAAGTGGACTGTGGGCTGCAACTAGTCTTTTATGGTCCTAACTGCAAGCCCATCTCCATCGACTGTGGCTCCCCAGGCGCAATCATGCCAGGTGTGATGTTACCCTTCAGCATTTGCACAAAAGGGTCTGAATGCAGTCCTGAGCTCTCTACACTGAGAGAAACGGAAATGTTTGTTTTCATCCGGAATTCAGATAAGGGGGAAATTTTACAACTTTACTTTGAGAACTCGTCAGACTGATAATTTTTAGGAATAGTTTAGGCAGAGCTGATCCTGCTAGGGCATAAGGCAGTTTGGTGACCTCCAGAAGTCTCTTCCAGTTCTCTCTGCAGCGATTACTTCAGAGAAAGTAACATTTTTTAGCCATAACTAAGCACCAAATCCCTGACCCCCTGTGGGAAACTGTTGTGTGGGTCCTGAGACGTACAAAGTCTGTTGTCCTGCAATGCTAGGGCAAGAGTAGTGAATTGGAGATAATCACCACGAAATTAAGAACAGCTCAGGCAAACAAAACCTCTTCTTTTGTGTTTTGTAGCTAGTTCCTGCTGCTGCTGCTACTCTTCCCATAATCCCCATTCCTTGCTTTCCTTCTATTGACTGTAAATTTACTGCATTTTGCACTGGACAAATCTAATATGTGGTGCTAAATATTTTCAATACGGCAATTGATCGACAGAGCGACATGATTGCACTACAATGTAGTAGAACGATGTGACTTTGCCAAAGGGTGTTTTGCTCACACAATGCCAAGTAAAGGAGGCAGCCCAAGTTGGAGAAGTAACTATCAACTCTTTAGTCAGTGCTCAGTTCTAAAACACACAGGGTTCCTCAAGCAGCCTTAGAGGGGCAAATCTAAGGGATGAGCCGGAAGCCCTGTGTACAGACAGACCTTTGATGGAGCTTCTTGAAATTCAGAGCCACATCAAAATGTTAACCTGAGCCCCTGTGACAGATTCAATACGTGTTTAGCATTTATTCTGTTACATTTTGTCTTCCCTTTTAATTTAAAATGAAATATGGGTATTCTCTTGCCCAACTTGAGAAAAGGTCTGATTTTGCTCTCACACTACTGTAGTGTAATGGAAGATCTCCAACAAAGCAAGTAGAATTCCAGTAAACCAGCATGCGGCACTTAGAGTTTGTTTCCCTTCATAATGTCTTCATAGCATGGAGGCAACTCAGCTTCCCCAAGGCTGAAACATGGGGCAGGAGAAGAAGACACCTCTGCATTCATGCAGGAGCTCGGAGATCCAGAAAATGGACACTGAGGTGCTTCACTCACTGGGGAAAAAGCAAAACAGTAACTGTACAGTAGGCAGGAGTGAAGAGGAAGCACAAGGATTAGAGATGTGAATCTGGGAGGAGCTGTCAAACCACTTGGAAACAAGAAAGACATTTTTGAAGCATGGCATCACAAGGCATCTCATCATGAACTGCAGATACAAGACACCAGAACAGAGGAACTTGGGTGGGTTTGGGGTGGTTTCTCCCTATGGAGACGGCGTCCTCGGCCGCCCGCAAGCAGGCAAAACTTCCTCTGAGAAGGACTTAGTCTAACAACGAACAATGGGCTTTATTCTTTAAGGGACTCTGGCCTGGCCCAGCCTGCTGGTATTACTGTCAATAACCTAAATTAGTGCTGGGTGCTCCGTGTAGTCATTATAGCCCGGTCCCCAGAAGGTCTGGATGCTTCTGGAGAAATGCTGAGGGCAGTTACTGCAAGGAACAGCATGCACTAAGACAACTTTCTAACTCATCCCAGAGTGTACCAGCCATTCAAGCCAACTGCTGGGGTGGCTAAAGAGGACCTGACCGAGCAATTCAGGTTACGTATTGGAAAGGGCTGCCTGACACCAGGCAGTGCCTGCAGCTCATAAACATCAGGCTGCAGAGTCCACCTGGCACTAAGGAGAAGATCCTGTTCCCCACCAGTGCCAGGGTGGCTGAGCCCCGACTAGGTACGGTCAGGACACGAGACACACACCAGCAGCACTGAGTTCAGCTGAAGGTGTGGCAGGGGGAGAGAACAGGATCTGGCAAATTTTATCCCTTAAGTCCACGGTCAGATCTTCCCTCCAAGACCCCCAAATTGGGCACCACACTACTTGAGCTAGTGAATGAGAAACACAGCTCCTGGCTGCAGCCCAGTTCCCACCCAAGCCTAGATTCCTACTATGGGGTTTTGGAGGGGCCTCTGAGGAGCCTGCTGGGGCCAGCGGGATCCTGCAGTGGGTAGAGAGAGGACTAACCGCAAAAGGCATCAGAGCTGCTGAGTGCAAACACAGCCAGGGTCCGCTGGTGGGAAAGGCAGCTCCGTTGCTTCAGCCAACACTGGAAGCAGAAGAGGATTCCACAGGACAGGAGCAAGGCCAGGAAAAACAGCAGCAGGAACCTGAGACAGAGGCAAAACAGGGAGGACGGGGTATGATCACCATCTGCAGGCAGCACGGACAGATGGCTGTGTGTCTTGAAATTAATATATTCATTAATATATTTTGCAAATAGCTGTTATCTTGTGCTTTGCCCACCAGCATACTGGACATAATCAAAGTCCGTAGAAAACAATTTCTCAGTGCTGAATGCACAGTGCTTCGTGCTGGCTGAAAATTCAAACGTTTCTCCCTGAAACCATTCATTGGTTTTTCCCAGCTCAGTTGTCAGCATACAATGAGAAGGATATGTATAAATGATTCCCATCAGTCAATAAAGACGGAACACAGGGACAGCCCAGGAGCAATGCTCTCCGGCTATCAGTCTCTCTTAATGCCTTTCTCTTCATATATCTATCAAAGAACATTATTTACCAGTTTTCCCTCTGAAACAGATTTGAAACTTACCACACATACCAGATGCTAAAGTTTTCATCACTCTGCCCGACACACCTAACAATGAAAAAATAAAAGGGATCTTCAGCTCAGTATGATTGGTCCAGGTACACGTTCATCAGCTTGAGGAAAAGCAATATCATAAGTATGGGACTGAGAAGTTTTCCTCCATCGAGGGGTCCCGCTGAGAAGTTTCTTTATTTTGATGGGAGCAGATGCAGACGATGCGTGAAGCAGCATGCAGCTGTTTTGCCCTTCACCACACGCACCCACCACCAGTGGCCTCGCTGGGTCCCCAGCAGAACAAACAGTTGCAGCATTCCCTGTTCTTCCTGCCCCTCTTGGAAGAAAAAACAAGCAACCTTTCCTGCAAGCCCTCTTTCTCTTTCTGCATTTGCATGCCTGGCAAGAGCACCGCACCCTCAGGAAGACCTGGCTGGGTACAGCCCCTGCTCTGCTTTGCCTGCGCCTTCCCTTGCAGAAGCAGGAGTGGGTGAGAAAGCAGAGAGAGAGCACTCACCTCTCAACAAGCTCACAGGCGGGCTCAGAGTCTGCTAACTGAAAATACACATGTAAATCAGAGAGGGCAAACCTGGTTTCTCACCAGTATAATTACTGATCTTGTCTTAGAGTGGGAACTTGGGTAGGAAGAGCTGACTCCTGCGCTGTATAAATCTGACAGATGAAAACCAGTCATCTCCCTAGAGGCAGTAAGGCTGAGCTTTTAACTCTGCGTATCTGTGGTCTGATCTAGCTGATATTGCATAATCTCATAGGCAGCTCGATAAATTCAATAGTCTGCAGATGAAAGCTAGTCCGAGGGGAAAGCACTTCTTTTTATGTGAAAGAGGGAAGTGCCAAGAGCAGAAAGATGCAAGCAGTATCAGAGATTGTGTTTACAGAACTAGAATTGGTTATTCAGAAATGACTGCTGAAGAATTTCCACAACTAATTCCTGTTCAGTAGCTCCTTCTCCTGTGGTTAACTGTGAACGTAGCTCTAAACTGGAGCTGTTTTGACTCCAGTTTTTGGTCTACCCAGCACTTTCTGTTTTAGTAGTAGTGCATCATTCCCAGAGTCAGGCTTCAGGTATGTGTACTTGCAATCGCAAATATGTGAACCTGAGACTTGTTTTTCAGGTATATTTTCTACTCTCTTCTCAAGTCAGCTTATTTATGCAAGCCTCACTGATCTTAGCCTCTGTTTCAGATTATCTAGGTGAAAAGCTACCACAAGGGTTCATAGTAAGATGGAATCAAATTCAAAACAGATTTTGGATGATTCACTTTAGATGTGTTTTAACATTCTCTCAACTTTGCTACAAAATACCTTGAATCAGGCACAGAATTGCAGTAACATTAGGAAAAAGAATAAGCAAGATGGAAGAGATTAGGTTTATTTCTTGGATAAAACTATCAGCATATAATTTGCAGATCATTACTTTACTTTGGATTTCCTTCTGCATACATCCAAAACACATACAGATTTCTGTTTTTCTTTGAGTCAACAGAAAGCTCTGCTGTGTATTAGAAATTTGTATATGGACAAATCACACATTATATCTCTAATTAACAGGTCTTCTCTGTAAGGGGTTTATTATGCAAAGCCTGTATCACTGCAAACGAAAAGAAATTACCCCACCAATTTCTATAACGTGCCTGATCCTGTGCACACTACCTTTCAGTTTAGTGGGAGCAGAATCACTTCCCAGTTTCAACAGAGGTCTTTAGGTATAACAAATCTTTCAAATAAAATATTATCCATGAAATTTCATGAACAGTTGAATCTTGAATGAAGAATAGGGAAAAAGATAGACAATTCAAAATGAACTTTTCCAGATGTGTCCTTTCAAAATTGAGCTAATTTGCCATGTCATACATGTACCATGGTGCAGAATATATATACATATTTTTTTGCACTTCAACTGATTATTAGAATAACAGGTCAAAAGCAGATAGCTGATTGCTGTGATTACATGTGGCAGAGTACTCTTCACGGCTGGATGACAGCCTCTGGATTCTCTTTTATCATTCTTTAAACTACCTCAGCAGAGCTTCCACAGCTTAGTTATACTGCAGCAAGGTGCAAGCGCTCTAAGGCAGTAATCTATTAATGCATCCAAACTCCCACCTTTGCTGCTGAAGATTCATGATTTTCCATTTCAATAGCCGTAGATAGAATAAAGGATCAATGTATTCATGTTTTCTCTGCATTAATAAGAATTGTTGTGAATATTAAATCTTCCCCAAATTTACCAGGTCCTAAAAAAAAAAAAACCTGAAAAAAACCCCAAAAAAACCTTTTTTTTTTTTTAATAAAACCACTGATGACTAAATTCTACCAAAGTGGAAATCTTCCCCCCACAAATCCCTAAAATCAGCCCGCTCCCACTGAAGGATCTGATTACCTGGAAGAATGTTAAACACAGAATTCCAGTGTCTGTGATCCATGAAGTGAAACACAAAGCTTGGGGTCTCCACATCACTAACAAAAGAGATGCGTGTAGAGCTTTGTTTGCGGCAGTGTTTTACTCTCTGTGATCTGGAGCTTTTAAAACTCTACACATTGTGCCTTTAGCCACAGAATACGTTATCCAATGACTTCTTGTGCTTCAGAAATTACCACTAGCCCAGGAATGTATTCTGGTTTGCACAGACACACTCAAATAGCTGCTAGAAGTTAAATGAGCACTAGCTTAAGGTCAGCACCTTGCAGGTTTTTCAGCTCCTTCATAGCCACTCACAAATTCCTGTTGTTGCAGCTCAATTCCATATTAATCCACTGCTGTATTTAACAGGACCTGCTACCTGTAAAGAACCACTGGAGACCACATCCTGAGGCCACGCTTTTGTTATACGTTGTCTTCAGCCGCGGTTCTGTCATTGCAGTAAAAGTAGTGCTGCCTCCATCCATCTCCCATGTACTGTGCCAGCGGGCTACTATCTCAAACACTGCACCCAGCATGTAGGAAACCCTTTTCCACCTGAGACAGCTTCCTCCAGCACTAGAAAACTAGCTCATATGTAGCTATCAGGGCTGGCTATCCCAGGAAAATGCATCAGAAAAAAAAAAAAAAAACCCACATCCCAAATGTTTTTCATAATGGACACAAGACTTCATCATATAATACAAGCAAAAGCCACCTGGGAGCCAAAAGCTCATATGGCTTTGATATCAATTTGATCCTGACTGATAGATACATCTAAATGAGGTAGGCAAACCAGGGCTGGAAAATGGTTTGTACTGCAGCTCTGATCACCTCAGAAAGGACAATCCCATTTTGTTCTACAGCTAGTAATAGATTGTCACTAAAGTTTACAGCCCATGGCTCAAATGGTCCATTAACTTTGGTTCTTCCAGGTTTAACACAAAAGGTGTTGCTGTGAATATGTTTAGTCGTTGCTTCAGAAGTTAAACATTATGTTGTGATGCCATTACTTGAGTAATGATTGATAAAATTAAACTGATCTTGAGGTGTACCTCTGTGGTTTTTCTTCAACTAAAAGTTTGAGAAGTTTAACCAATCCTGATACACATACTCAACCCAAGTTTGTTATTCGTTTATTAAGCTTCCATAAACCCAGTCCAGGCCCTGATGTTCTCAAACATTTATGTTTATCTCACTACTGATTAAAGGTAAGCCTCTGAAATGATGCTCTCTGAGAAACAGCATCTCCTGTAATGCTGCTGAGTGCACACTCTACACAGTGTAAATGGTCTGAACATGCTGGTATCCTTGTTCTGGTGATTTCTGTTCAATTTTGTTCAATAGTGAATTGCCAAACCCATTTCTTAGCTTTTTTCTTAAAGGGAAAAGATCCAGCAGAATAAAAAGTGTGCATAGCCTTGCTGGGAACCTTGTCACTTTTACAATTTCAGGCTTCAGAGAGCTCATCCATCAGTGAACTAATTTCAGATTTCTTCCTCTCACAATTACTTCCCTCGAAGCTCACCCCATGCTCCAGTGAGATATCCCTATCAGCATGCCAGTGCAGAACATCTCAATGCTTTCAATTTAGAGACACTCAGTGTATCACTCCCCAGTATTGTGGGGGGCAGGTACAACAATGAGCTCCTGGTACTGAAAAATAACAGGCAACTTCTGTTCTGGGTCTATTTCTGGAGGAAAAGGGAAAGAATTTAGTTCTGTCACTACTCAGCTTCCTGGCCTAAAGGCAAACTTTGAAGTTTTCTGCTAGTTGGTCCCACAGAAATGTTTCAAATGATGGTGGCAATTTGTCAATCCTGTCCTTCTATTCTCAGTAACCAGTCATGGAGGAGAGAGAGCTGGCTAAGAGGGCCCAGGAACAGTCCTGACTTTTGCTTAAGAGGTGATCCACATACCAAAAAAAGACGTTGCTTTAGTAGGAAAACTCTTCCTGCCTGTGATCTGTTGATCAGCTTGAATACTTGAATATAATGAAGAGCCCCAGCACTGGCTCTGAGCAAGCTCGGCTCTGACAGGGAGAGCCGAGAGGAGCTTTGAACTGAACTCTGCGGCGGACTATGGACCCTCCTGCCAGCTCCCTGGTACATGCTCTCCTTACTACGATGCTGCTGCCTTCAGATTTTGCAATAGTGGGATATTCATCTTCTGGATAACCTTGTATCCAGTGGTTAACTCCAGTCTGAGAGATTTTTCTAGGCTTTTTGTCATCTTCTCCCCCAGAGGAGATATTCACATATACATGTAAGTATATGAAAAGTAAACCCTGATGCCTCCTCATGCACTTACTGATAAAAAGTTTGGTTTCTCCTTCCTCCTCAGTCAATTACATACACCTCATCAGTGGACTTTGGAAGCTGCTTTCTAATAGATGTTAACTCACAGCCATTAGCTTAAAAATCTGTTATTTCCTAGTCACCTTGTATCGTTGCTAGGTGACAAATGCATCTCCTATTCAGCAACAGGAACTATTGAAACATACAGCAATTTATGACTGCCCATTATCTCTTTGCTTAAAGCACATGGTCCTTTTGACAGGAGGAAGACGTGCAATTCTAGAATCACCCAAAGGGTGACTTTCAGAGTTGCCACAGTAACCACCTCCATCTAGGGCTGAGACTTGCTGGGCTTCAAGAGAAGAGTTGTAAGATTGGGAGATAGGAGGAATCTGGGGGGGGGAAGTTGATTTAACTTCCCAAATCTGACAGGGCTATGGCAGGATTAGGTGTCCAAATTTCAGGAACTGAGTTTGTTGTTGTGTGCACATGCCTTAGAAAATACGCCTTTGCTTGCTTGACTGTAATACAATAATTTTCAGTCATGCTTTTGATTTCATCCAAAGTTTCAGGGAACACCCTAGAGACCCTCTGAATTCTAGTAAGAACAGGAGGAAACTAATTTGTGGGCAACTAGGAGCCCACACAGATCCCCTGGCAGCTGATAAGCACAGCAAGCAGTTTAAACTAACTCCTTAGCTGCCTTCAGAACATTTGGTGGCTGCTTGGGACGCCTTTTGGGAAAGCAACCACCTTGCTAAGCTCTGACCACACTCACAGTTCAGTCCAGAATGGGACTGTGAAATATCCTTTTCCACAAAGAAAGCAAGAAAAGAGAAAAGCAGGAGTAGGAGGGATAGGACAGACACACACACACCTGCATTGTAGGAGGGATGTGAGATAGTATGGTATCGTGGAGAGATACAAGGTAGAAGGGAGATCAGGAAACTCAGGGCAGCCCTGCTTTCCGCCTTGAGGTTGGCTGACAAGAGGTAGCTAAGTGCATGCAGGCTTTCATTTTTCCTCCAGCCCAAGTCTGCTAGGAGTTTTCCTCTCCAAGGCCGAGTCCCTTGCTGTGGCTGGCTTGGTCTTCCCTTTCGCAGCCTCATTGTCCTCTTCTGGGGTCAGCCAGGCTGGATCCTCCCTCCCTGCCTGTCCTGGGAAGACTCAAGGCAGGCAAATCCACATTAGCACAAGAGAAGAGAAGAGAAGGGTAACAAGGAAGACCGAGGAACGGACCTTATCCCTCTGTGGCAAGGGAACTAAAGCAACTTGGTTACTTGCAGTAGGGAAAAGAAAGCTGCAAGCAGCTGCTCGCTGTCTACAAACACACTGGTGAGACTGATAAATCCAATGACAGGGAAGAGTTATTTAAGCTAATGGCCAGTGCTGGCACAGGAACAAGTAGGCATTAACTGGTCGTGAATAAAATGAGGCTGGAAATGCAAAGAAGGTTCACTCCAGCCGGGAGCAAGGGGGTTGTGCAGCAGCCCACCGTTTGGAAGGGTGCAGGCACAAAACCAAACAGCTCCCTGGATGGAAGTCTACAAGCTGTGACAGAGGATGTGATCACTTCAGTTTGGCTCGCTGACCCAGGGAGTCCTTTCCCACGGCATAAAAACCTTCCAAGACGATTCTTAAATCCCCAAGCCCATCCGCACGTACAGAAGTTAGATAGGAGAGTTCTGGGCCTGTGCGAACAGGGCAGGATGAGCTCTTCAGAACAAGGCTTGGAAGAGCTGGCACAGTCTGTTGTTTTTCAAAAGGATTATAACTGCTCACTGATGAATATGGCCCTTTGTGCGTATGTATGGGGGAAGTGCTGCAGTGAGGGAGGAAAGACTCCAGGACACTAATTTAAATGAGCACAAACAAGGATAACATTGTTCTGATGTATCCTCCCCAGGAGGAAAGATCTGCAAGTCACATTAGGATCTAAGATAACCTCAGATAACTCTGTTGTTTCTGATGGTCTGGAGAGCCCTTTTGTTTGTCTTGCTATATCAGCAGGGAAAATTTGGCAGAGAATAGGGTTCAGTGAAGCCTTTTGCCCAGCAGAAAGCTAAAGAAAAAGGAATCTTCATTTAGGCTAGTTATTTGTAATAGGGACTTCTCTATTTTGTATATCTCAGACTGAGAACTACAGGATAACTGCTTTAAACATGTAGCTACTCATGGAGTCCTCAAACCCTTAAATTGTATGTTCATGGGAAGTCCAACCTTTAAGTATAAAGTCCACTGAACTGTTGTGAGAAATTGCTGTGAACTGTCCAAAATATCTCTGTTCCAATCCTATAATAAACACCTGACAAATAGATATTGCAACAACTGAAGCATTGAGCATACCTAAAAGGATTTAGGCCAGAGCTGTCCTGCTCTACAATTCGCAGCGGGAAGCAGCTTTGACAATTGCACCTTTCCAGTAAGCATGCTTCACATGCCTAGGATTCTAGTACTGACTCTGCCCTTGCTGTTAAAGGAAGCCATGTGTGGTTTGCAGTGCTGTGGGAAGCTGTGTCGTGGGGACACTGGAAAGCTGAAAGAATTGAGAAGTACTTTTTTTTCTTTTTTTCTTTTCCAGTGTGTTTTGTTTGGAAAGCTTAAGTTGGATCCTAAAAAGACAGTGCCACACCTAAGGGGATGTGGGCTAAGCCTAAAAGCTGTTAGGCTTTACAGGAGGTAGGAGAACTTGGAACTCACAGAATCGTATTTTAACATCTGCCACACCTAAGGAACAAATAGTAGTTTGACTTCTGTTAT